TCAAATGAATCACGTAGTCTGAAAACAGACTACAGTATAATTTACGTCATATAGTTGTGACGATCCGGGAGAACGTCACAACAATTAAAAAGAATATTTACAAAACTAACAAAGAAACGCCGAACAACCGCGCGCGGGATAACTGCAAGGTCAACAAACAGTCGCACTGTTTGTTATAATTCAGTATAAAAGGCCGTTACAAAATTGATATAGAGAGATTGATCGGAAAGCTCCTCTCAGGCGCACGACCAACCAGAACTCAAAAACTCCTAGAGATGCTAGACATTCCGTCGACCGAAGTGGATACGCGACGTCGACATCCTTTCCTCGATACCGCTCTACCGACCGAAGTGGATACGCGACATCGGTTTCCTATCCATACACCGCTCCGTCGACCGAAGTGGATACGCGACGTCGATATCCTTTCCTCGATACCGCTCTACCGACCGAAGTGGATACGCGACGTCGGTTTCCTATTCATACACCTCTCCGTCGACCGAAGTGGATACGCGACGTCGACCTCCTTTCCCCGACACCGCCCTGCCGACAGAAGTGGATACGCGACGTCGGTTTCCTATACGTACACCGTTCCGTCGGCCGAGGTGAATACGCAACGTCGACTCCCTTTCCTCCTCACGCCACGCCGCTAACACCTACGATTGCGAACGCATACAGGGCGTAAGATACCGGGGACGACGAGCGCCTTTAAGTCCGCCAGGAAAACCAGGATAAATAAACAGATTAAAGCCGACGAGGCAACGAACTCCAAACGACGAATAATGTACCAGGACACTAACTCGACCGCGTCCCGCCGACCGCTCGCGCGCCACGACGCTCACAGCTGATCGCGAGACGACAACAACGGCTCCCGACAAGAGCAAAAACGCGACCACGCGCCAACGGCATAACGTCGCCTGTAAATAATTGTAAATAGCCTTGAAATTAGAATATAGTTTCACATTAATATCACCTATACCACTGGTTTTCATTTCACGAACGAAACCCGGACCACACCGGCTAAGACTATCCCGCACGTAACGCAAGACCGTTACAAATTGGCGCCCGAAGATAAAGAAAAATGATGAAGCAGTGGATCTATATACTGGCAAAAGACCAGATAATTCAAAAAATGGCAGAACTAGGACTGCCCACGGAAGGCACCCTAGATAAATTAAGAAACAGACTAAGTAAATATGTCTCCGATAACCCGCAACGGTTCACAAATAGAACGGAAGACGAAGGGACGAGCCGACAGACAGAAGTATCATATAGAAACGACCCGACAACGGTCGCAAAAACAATTAACCAAATGCGTAAATGGGGATGTCAATTCGACGGAAAAGATCCAATTTCTTTCCTAGAGCGAATTGAAGAATTACAAAGTAGTTACGAAGTAGTTACGAAGTAGTTACAAAGTAGTTACGAATACACCGACGAACAAATGCTGCAGGGCTTGCCGGAATTACTGCGCGGAAGTACCTTGCATTGGTACAGGAACAACAAGAAAGCGTGGAAAGAGTGGAATGATTTCACGAACGCATTTCGGGAACATTATTTTCCATATAGATACAAGAACCAATTAAAAATAGAAGTACAGAAACGACTGCAACAAGCAAACGAACCTTTTAGGCATTACGCCACAGAACTGGCGACGCTCATGAGAAGAGCAGGCGGATTTTCAAGAAGAGATCAAATAGAGCAGACATACGAAAACATGTCGCCAGACTTAAAGCTGCACATTAGGCGGGAGAATATATACACATTAGGAGAACTAGGGGCCCAAGCAGCAGAGATAGAGGATATTCAGCGTTAAAGGAGAAGTATGCGCACAAATGCACACACATTACCACATTACGGCAATAACGGCAGCAATATACAATGCCGCGGATTGCTGCTGGCGCTGCAAACAAAGGGGGCACACAAGACGATTTTGCAGACAACCGGCGAAGAAATTTTGCTCCCAATGCGGAAGAGATGGAGTTTTAACAAAAGACTGCCATCCACGAC